TTGGTTTTTTTTTTTTTTTTAAAGCATATCCTTGCATTCTGACACTAGAAGATATTTAGGCTCATCTTGTGTTTTCACGGCCCGAGCGTAAGTATCAGTCAGTTTTCCTGTCAGCCTATTTGTTTAGAAAAATATTTAGAAGCAAGGTCTGGTTGTAGGGGTGCTTGTTGCTACTGGTGTATCACTACTTTTAATCTTTCTCAGAGGACAGAGCCCTGGTGGTGGGTTATGTGTCGTGGAGTTAGTTCAACTTATAGCAACCTGTATAGGGTTTCTAAGGTTGTTAAGTCTTTATGGGAGCAGAAAGTCTCATCTTTCTCCCATGAAGCGTCTGGTAGAGTCAAACTGTTGACTTTGCAGTTTGCAGCTCAACCAGTAATCTCCTATGCTACCAGAATCTGTAGCTCATGTATACTCATGTATATGTTGTTATAAGGTGCTGTCTAGTCAATTTGGACTTATAGTGACTGACAACATGTGTAACAGGACAAAAACACTGTTTGGTCCTGCACCATCCTCTCAGTCATTGCGATCCTTGAACTCATCATTGCAGCCATTGTGTCATTCCTTTGTGTTAAGAACCTTCCTCTTTTTCTCTGATCCCTCACTTTACCAAGCATGATTTCCCTCTTCAAGAACTATTCCTTTCTCATACCTTGTCCAAAGCACATGAGATAATACCTGTTCAGATGTGCTTCCAAGGAGCATTCTGGCATTAGTTCTTCCAGGATAGATCATTTCATTTTTCTGGCAGTCTATAGTACATTCAAGGAGCTCTGGTAGCTTAGTGGTTACAAGTTGGGCTGTTAACCTTAGGGTCAGCAGTTTGAACTGGCAGCTGTTCCATGGGTGAAAGATGAGGCTTGCTGCTCTGATAAAGATTTACAGTCTCAGAAACCCTATATAGGGTTGCTATGAGTTGGAAGTGACTCCATGGCACATAACCATCACACCACAGTACATTCAGAGTTCTGAATGTGGTGCTGTAGTATGATAAACACTGGACCACAAAATCAATTTGAACTGTAAGGTTGGTGGTTCGAACTCATCAGCCATTCATCAGAAATTCTAAAGAGGGTCACTCTGTGTCGGAACCCAAGAATGCAGTACATTAAGTATTCTTTGCCAACACCATACTTCAAATGCATCTTCTGTCTTCTTTATTCATTACCCTGCTTTTGCATGCATATGAGGCTGTTGAAAATACCATAACTTGGACCTTAGTTCTTAAGGTGACATCCATCTTTGCCTTATAATACTTTAAAGAGATCTTTTGCAAAACATTTACAGTGTGCTGTTTGATTTCCTGACTGTTGCTTCTGTAAGCATTTGATTGTGGATCCAAGTAAAGTGAATTCCTTGACACCTCCAATCTCTTCCCTGTTTATTATGATGTGCATATTGACCCAGGTGTGAAGATTTTTTTGTTTTATGTTAAGATATAATCCATACTGGAGGTTGTAATCTCTCTGATCATCACTGGTGTTTCAGTGACTTTCAAAAAAAAAAAAATCTCAGAAACTTTCAGCCAACAAGGTTGTTCATCTGCATATTACAGGTGGTTGTGAGTCTTCCTACAATCCTGATGCTGCATTCTTGTTCATGTAGTCCAGCTTCTCTGATTATTTGCTCATTTTGTTGTAGGTGCCACTGAGTCAGTTCTGACTCATAGTGACAATGTGTACAACAAAATGGAATATGCTAGTCCTCGCAATCATTGCTATGCTTGAACCCTTTGTTGCAAGCATTGTGTCAATCCCCACCTCATTGAGACTCTTCCTCTTTTTCATTGACTCTCTACTTTTTCATGCATGATTTCTTTCTCTAATAATGGATTCTTCCTGATAAACATGTCCAAAATAACATGAGACATAGTCTTATTGTCCTGGCTTCTAAGGAATATTGTGACTGCTTTTTCCAAGACCGCTCTGTTTTTTCTGGCAATCCACGATATATTCATTATTCTTACCAGTGCCATAATTCCAGTGCATTAGTTCTTTGGTCTTCCTTGTTCGTTCGTTGTCCAGCTTCCTCATGCATGTGAGGTGACAAATTGAATAAGTTTGGTGAAAGAATATGATCCAATATACATGTATTAAAATAAAATAAACATGAGTTCATACTGATCTAATTTAGAACTAGAGGGTTCATTTTAGCTTTTCCTCTTGTTTATTTGTACCTTCCTTCCTCTGACCGTGAGAAACTGGCTCCTATTATATACTATTTACTTATATGGTTGGCAATTCAAGTCCACCGAGAAGTACCTCAGAAAAAAGGCCTGGTGACATACTTCTGAAAAAAAAAAAAAAAGCTGTTGAAAATCATATGAAGCACAGATGTAGTCTTACACCAGAGGTGTTGGAATTAACTTGATCGCAACTGGTTTTGATTTAGTATATATGTAAAAGAGTTTAAAATTTGTTCGTGGTGGCTCATGTCCTACTGTTTCATGACACTTTATTTATTTATTTTATTGTGAAATTCCTCAAAATTCTTATTTGCGCTCACTTCCTCTTTTTTTGAAACTTGCATTGAACTTTTATTTGCACTGTAGGATAAGCACTGGACTGCTAACCACAAGGTTGGCAATCAAACCCACTAACCATTTCTCAGAAACCTTATATAGGGTCGTTATGAGTTAGAACTGAGTTGAATGTACTTAACAACAAGAATGAGTTTATGTTTGCTACTTTTGCTTCAGGACTACTTAATTATGAGCTTTTCTGAACGATATAGATTATGAAGATTCTGGTCTCTAATTGTGGGCTAGGACTCCCAGGGTGATGCAAATGGTTAAGTACTTGACTTCTAGCTGAAAAGAGTCCTGGTTTGACTGAAGGATAAGCACTGGAATCCTAACTGCAAGGTCGTTAGTTCAAACCCACCATCACTGCTTGGAAACCCTATCCCTATACAAGGTTGCTGTGAGTAAGAACCAACTTGACAGCACTTAACAACTAACTGAAAGGTTGGCTGTTTGAACCCATGTAGAGGCAAATAGGAAGAAAAACCTAGAGATCTACTTCTGAAGACCATCTCTGGAGTATAGTGCCACTCTGCAATATATGGGTTTTCTGTGAGTTGGGTTCACTATGGCAACTGATTTGACTCTGTTTTTCCTACCAGTTTTATTGTGGACTTATGGTTAAGAGTTCTTTAACCATAAGGTGATAATTTTTTTCTTGTTTTCAGTTTAGCTAAAAAGTTCAAAGCCATGGACAAAGCATCACAATTTCTCATACTGTCCCTTACTTCATTGGGTTTCTGCTTTTCCTGGTCCACCTGTAAAAATAGCATAGAGCAGCTTCTGACCTCTTAACTTCAGAAGTGAAGAGGAGAATCACCCTCAGTATCAGCCCAATTCCTATGCGGCAGTGATCAAACATGCCTCTACCCTCCAATCTTTTTACCTGTTTTGAAATCAGTTGTCCATTCCACAGGACTCTCTGCTTCTCTTTTAGGTTCACTAATTTGTTGCAATGGCCACACAGAACTCACAGACATTTATGGAGTTTATTAGGGAAGTAGCAGGTTAGAATAGTTCAGGCTAGGATAGTTCTTCAATCAGGACCATCTTTTTAGCTGTGACTGTATACCCTGGCTCCACAGCCCCTTGATCTATGCTTTTAGCGCTGTTGATAAATGCCCAGAAGTACCCCATTTTGCTAATAAGCCATGGCTCGAAGGCAATCAGCTCTAACTCCATGAGTTGGCTAACCTGACTCCCCTGATTAAGTACTCAGGAGGCACCCTACTCTGCCAACAAGTCTCCTACCTAAAGGCACTCAGATTCCTTGTTCCATCTGATTTGTGCTAATCTCCCTGGTTATGCTACCACCATTTTTATGTTGCTGTGTCTCGCAGTATTTTTGTTGTCTCTGGTGTCACAGCTCTCTGTCTTCTGGATTCATGGGGTTCAATGCAGGAAGATCAGGCCCATAGGGTGCACTCTGCTTCTGGCTATTTTTTTCTTGATGGTAGTGAGATTTCCATTTTCCACCTCTGGGATGGCTCATTTTAAACCTAACAGGATGGTAAAACTTGATGAGTTCCCATGTTTCAGACATCTTACTTGAATAGTCCCACCCCACAACGGTACCAAGTACCTTATTTACATTATTAACAAGCCACCCATTCCTTTTGGTGGGCCAGAAACACTACATTTGCATAGTTCTGCCCAGTTCTGATGTGTTGCTGTAGCATCAACACTAGACTTTGAACCACAGGGTCAGTAGTTCAAACCCACCAGCTGCTCCTCGGAAACCTATACAGGTCACTATGCGCGAAATCAACTCGAAGGTACTTAACAGCAACAACCCATTCCTGGTAGCATAGTGGATTAGAGTTGGGCTGTTTATTACAAGGTAAGCAGTTTGACTCTGCCAGCTCCTCCAGTGGGAGAAAGATAAGGTTCTCTACTTCTGTAAAGATTTACAGTCTCTGTAACCCTATACTGGGTCATTATGATTCTGAACTGACTCAGTGGCACACAACCACCACCACCACCCAGTCATTTAGCCATTTGGTGGGAGTCACAAAGACTAAGTCGATTATTATTAAATTATGATAAATTATCATATAATTCATCACACTGTACCACCCAATAGGAGTATTGCTTTTCACATCTTTTAGCCTCAATCTGACCTCATCTTGCTGGAAACTTGATCTTATTCAAACCCAGGCTGTAGGCCATCAGGTTATTATCATGTGGCTCCAAGACACATGACACACTACCTGTCTGGATTTCCATTTTCTTAATTGTATTTGGCTTCATAGGATTTCAGCCATGAACTTATGAATCAAATGTTTAAACTCTAAATGATTATGTGAGGGTACTTCAGAAAGTTCATAGAAAAATTCCATTTTTTAATTCTAGTTTTTCCACAGACTTTCTGTAACACCCTTGTATTTGCTATTCTAATCTGGAGAGATTTTGTAGACATCAAGTGTGCCATATTGCCAACACAGAAAACATTGTTTTGCTTTTCTTCTGTTAAAAGCCAGAGATGACTGTGATAATAGTGATCTGGAGATACCTCTCATGAATAAAACAAGCAAACTGGCAAGTACTAATCAGGTTAGGATTTAGGGCTGATTTTATTACACATAAATTCATGTGTCTTCCTCCTCTCTAATTTGTATTATTATATCTCACTAATTTGAATTTCATTGTATATAGTAAATATACACATGATGATTGTAACTTAATAAAAACATGTTTTAATGTACTCCTTTTATTTATTTATTTATTTTTGAGAAAATGAGATGTTTACAAGAAATGGTTAAAGGCAAATTGTAAGACATTAAAATAAGAAAGGGCCTGGGAAATGCTCAAATTGATTTTATATTGACTAGTTCTATTGAATGCTTATCTCAGTTTGTTTCTATTTCAGCTTTGGCTAGATCAGAGTCTAAGAGAGATGGAGGTTTTAAAAATAATTGGAGCTTTGATCATGGAGAAGAAAGTGAAGGAGATACAGATAAAGAGTAAGGATTTTATTTTTTTTCACCAATACTTTATAAGAATGAAAGTTTTCATTAGAAAAACAATTTATATTCCATGAAAGTATTTTAAAGAGTATAACATTCTTAGAACATTATACTCTTTAACAAAGTATTTTATAAAATATTATTTTACAAATATAGTATTAGAACAGCAAAAGCAATTCTTTAATGGTTTATAATTTTGTTATATTTCTCTATCTTTTAAAATGTGTAAATATGGACATTTGAGTAAAAATGAACCATAGTATAGCAGTTTTCTATTTTAGAAGAATTTTTTTTTTTTAAAACAAAAATGAAATTTTGTTCATGCAATGATTTGAAAAGCCAATGTTTATGATTAAATGAACCTAGATTAAGACTCTTGATTTTTGTGTAGAAATTTAAGTTCTGCAGTATCTTTCTTCCCCACTTAACCCTTCTCTCCCTCATATAAATCTTAGATCAAATTGCTACCCGAGAAGGCAAAAACACTATAAATAATAAACATAAATGTTCAATAAGCTTTGTTACTGTATCTAGATATATTGTTAATGTGTTTGGAATGTCTTCTGTGTAAAATTTTAAATGATAGTTTTAGTAGAATCATTTGTATGTTGGATATTTATATTATAAATTCAATGTTGCTATTGTTTCTTGGTTTATTAATCTGGTTTTCCACTGACCAGAGAAACAAATATTCTCACAAAGTTTTACTAAAACTGTAGTTATTTTAAAGAAATGTTACACAGAAGTCATTCAGCATATATTGGTTGAATACTGTAGGCGCTTCACTTCTGTCCTGACAACAGCTCTTCTCGTGATTTGCTGTTGTTATTAAGTGTCATCTAGTCATTTACAACTCATTGTGGCCTTGTGTAGGGATTCCAATGAGCAGCTGGTGAGTTGAACCATCAACCTTGCAGGTCAAGTACTTATCCTACAAGCCCACACTGGTACTCTCCTATTCATGATTACTACAATTTTATATGCCTTTGTCTGTGAAATGTTGACTTGAAGTGAAGCTTTATTTGAAGGAGAGCTTAACTGCTAAGTTTTTTTTGTTTTTTTTTTCAGTGTTTTATGGCCTTTCGTTTATTTCCTTTTTTAAAAATTTAACAGATATTTTTGTTACTGTGTGTTGTTTTGAAAAATTGAATTAAAGTTTTTAAACGTTTTTGTAAAGGTGGAAGGAGAGGACTTTTAGCATTAAAGTTGAGATGCATGAAAGGGGACTTCAGAAAGTATGTAGAAAAATTCTGTTATCTTTCAGTTCCATTTTCCATGAACTTGTTGAAGCCTCGCACATAAACAATAGTGAAGTAAAGCTTTTACATTTTTATTATGAATAGCTAGTATTTTACTATAAATAGTAGAATTGTCTGTAGAAGGGTGTATCTGACTTTCTGTGCTGAAAGGCTTGCTTTGGTTATCTAAACAACTTGTAACATTAGCAGTCCTTTACATTTCATTTATGAATTGTACTCTTTGGTTCTGCATAATAATTGGGTCTTCTGGGACTCCAAGTCATGTTGAGATTAACAATGAAACAGTACTGGTTTTGTGCTGTAAAATAAGCACTGAGCTACTAACTTTAAGACCAGTAGTACAAACCCTCATCTAAAACTCTGTAAAAACTGCCTCAACACTTAACAAGAAGTGTGATCCTTTAAAATTTCAGAGCAGTGATTTTTAGTGAAGCTTGATGTTCCCAAGAATGGTGAAGGTATGATTATTTTCTTGTGGCAATACCACTAGAATTACTTTATTTTAATTGATAAAGGCTTTCCAGACAAGTTTGTTTCTTCGATGTTTTTTCCCTCCATATTTCTCCCCTAATCATCAGTTTAAGAAAGAGAAAAATGAGTGAACCTACATAAAATCCATAGTTTAAAAATTATGTGTTTGTTTAAGGTTGTTAAGTGCCGTTGAGTCAGTTCTGACTCATAGCGACCCCGCATAGGGTTTCCAAGGAGCAGCTGACCTTGTGGTTCACAGTCCAGAGCTAGTCTTACAGTGTCACACTGTTTAAGGGTTTAAGGTAGGGATTGGCAAATCTGGCCCACCACCTTTTTCCTTTTTTTTTAAATAAAGTTTAATTGGAACACAGCCACATGACTAGTGGGCTTCAGTTGTTGTTGTTAAGTGCCATCGAGTCGGTTCCGACCCATAGCGACCCTGTACAGGGTTTCCGAGGGTGTAAATCTTTACGGGAGTAGAAAGCCTCATCTTTCTCCCACGGAGCGGCTGGTAGTTTCGAACCGCTGACCTTAAGGTTCACAGCCCGATTCGTAACCACTACGCAGAGTTCAGGAAAATGGAACGAAGAGATAATGGAATTCTTCTATGAACTTTTTGAGGTCTCCTCCTCTGTTGTCAATGGTTGCTTTTTCATTACAATGACAGAACTTAATGGTTGCTGTAGAAACCATCTAGTTTGGGAAGCCTAAATTATTTGCTATCTGACCCTTTTCAGATAGTTTCCTGATCCCTAAATTGTTGTTGTTGCTAAGTGCTACCAATTCAGTTTTGACTCATAGCAACCCAGTTTAGGGTTTTCTAGGAGCGGCTGGTGTGACTTTGAACCTCTGACCATGCAGTTCAAACCAACATTGAGGTCAAGTGCTTATCCTATGGCAACAATGTAAAAAGGAAAACTGAATTTAATGTATGAATTGTAACTGTTATTTAAGGCTTTCCCCCCTTATTTTCTGCATAGTGGGACAAGTCTGCTCAGTGTAGATGAAGATGAGGATTCTGAAACCTCAAAAGGAAAAAAGGTAAGTGTTTTTTTTTGCTTTTTAAAATGAGGCCACAATTCTAAAAACTTGTTGTCAAAAGAAGAATATGCATTTATATTTATTTATAAGCTTACCATCCATTTCCCTACTCCAGAGACAAGAAGTGTTCTGTTTTTTTCTGTTCTTCCAGACATGCATTTTATGCATTACAAAGAAAATATTTCACTGCAACTCCTTACATAATTCATAGCACATTGTACATACTTTTTGTTTCTTTTTAATGTAAATTATCTTGGAAATCATTCCATGAATTTATGTAAAAAGCACTGTCATTCTTTTCAGAGATGCATAGTATTCCATTGTTTTATGTACCATTATTATTCAGAACTACCAACTTGGTGAATTTGGTGTTTCCAGACTTTTTTTTCCCCTAAAGCAATGTTGAGTACATTAGCCATGTATATAGATTATATAGCATATATACAAGCATATTGATAGAATGGATTCCTGGTATTATTGTTAAGTTACGTTGAGTTGGTTCAGACTTTTGGTTCAAACTGACCTTGCGGCCTAGCACATTAACCTGCAGCACCACACCAGGAATCTATAAGTGATTCCTGTTGTTGTTGTTAGTGCCATCGAGTTGCTTCTAATGCAGAGTGACCCTGTATAGGTTTTCTAAGAACTGGCTGGTGAGCTGGAACTGTCAAATTTGTGGTTCAAACTAACTTTGCAGTCTTAAGTCCAGCGCATTAATCCACAGTGCTATGCCAGGATATATTTCTAATTTTATTATGTCCAATTTACACTTTTCTCAGTATTGTCTGGTGGTGATGGTGCCGTCGAGTTGGTACTACTTGTCTCGTAGTGACCCTGTATAGGGTTTCTGAGGCTGTAAATCTTTATAGGAGCAGAAAGCTTCATCGTACTCCTGCTGAGTGTGACTGGTAGATTGGGGCTACTGATTTGTGTTTAGCAGCCCAGCTCCTAATCCACTACACTGCCAGGACAGTTCTTGTTTTCTCATACTTAGTCACATCACTTTCAGCCTTTTAATCGTTCTTCCTCAGCGGAGGATATCTCAGTAAAGTCCTAATTTGCATTTCTTTTGTATGAGTGAGGTTGAACAGCTTTTCATATGTGTGGTCTCTTTCTATTTCCTCTTATAATGGGCAGCTAACTTCCATTTGCCCATTTTTGTATTTGGTCTTTGGATTATTGGTTCTTACAAATTCTTTATACTAATTTTTAAATGCATGTTAAGAAAACATTTGACAACTCTGGAATATGGGATACATCTTATGATATTTTGTTGTTTTTATGTTCCACTGAGTTGTATCCAACTCATAGCGACTACCCTGTATGGGGTTTCCAAGGAGTGGATGATGAGTTTGAATCATTAACCTTGCAGTTAAAACCAACCTTGCAGTCCAGTGCTTTATCTGACAGTGCCATACTGTTGTTATTGTTGTTGTTAGATGACGCTGAGTCAGTACCAACTTATAGTGCCCCTTTGAACAACAGAATGAAACACTGCCTGGTCCTGGGCCAATCTCATAATTGTTGCTGCGCTTGAGCCCATTGATGCTGCCACTTTGCCAATCTGTGTAGCTTGGGCTTTTTCTCTGACCCTCCACCTTTTCAAGCACATCCTTCTGCTGTAACTGTGGTCCCTCTTGACAATATATCCGAAGTATGAGAGACAAAGTCTGGCCATGCTGGCTTCCAAGGAACACTCTGGCTGTACTTCATCCAACAGAGGTCTGTTTTTTCCTTTGGTAGTCCATGGTACTTTCAACGTTCTCCCCCAACACCATAACTCAAATGGATCAAATCTTCTATGGTCTTCCTTATTCACTGTCCAACTTTTGCATGCATATGAGGTTATTGAAAATACCATGGCTTGGATCAGGCGCAACTTAGTCTTCAAACTGACATCTTTGTACCTCAACACTTTGAAGGGATCTTTTGCAGCACATTTGCCTAAGGCAGTACATCGTTCGATTTCTTGACTGTTGCTTCCATGAACGTTGATGGTCGATCCAAGAAAAATGACAACTTAATCATTTCTCCATTGACAAGAACGTTCTTTATTGGTCCAGTGATGAGGTTTTTTTGTTTTCTTTACATTGAGATGCAACTCATACTGAAGGCTGTGCTCTTTGATCTTCATCAGTCAGTATTTTAAGTCCTCTTCACTTTTAGCAAGCAGGGTTATATCATATGCATATTGTAGGTTGTTAATGAGTTTTCCTCCAATCCTGATGCCACGTTTTCCTTCATAGAACCCAGCTTCTTGTATTATTTGCTCAGCATACAGGTTGAATAAGTACGGTGAAAAACACAACCCTGTCACACACCTTTCTAAATTTTAAACCTTACAGTGTTCTCATGTTTTGTTCGAATAACTTGGTCCATGTACAGATTCCTCATGAGCACAATTAAGTGTCCAGAAATACTTATATTCACAATATTGTCAATAGCTTATCATGATCCACACATTGAAAGCCTTTGTGTAGTCAATAGAGCACAGATAAACGTCTTTCTGGTATTCTCTGCTTCAGCCATTGGACATCAGCATTGCTATCCCTTGTTCCACGCCCTCTTCTGAATCCGACTTGAATCTCTGGAAGTTCTCTGTCAATCTATGCTTGCAGCCGTTTCTGTATTACCTTTAGTAAAACTTTACTCACATGGGATATCAGTGATATTGTCCAGTGATTTCTATATTCCGTTGAGTCACCTCTCTTTGAAATGGGCACAAATCTCTTCCAATCAGTTGGCCAGGTAGCTGTCTTCCAAATTTCTTGGCATAGATGAGGGAGTACCTTCAGTGCCACATCAATTTGTTAGAAAATTTCAATTTATATTCCATCAATTCCCTGTGCCTTGTTCTTTGCCAATTCTGTCAGTGTACCTTAGACTTTTTCCTTTAGGGTCATTGGCTCTTGATCATATACTACCTCTTGAGATGGTTGAACATTGACCATTTCCTTTTGGTACAGTGATTCTATGCACTCCTTCCATCTTTTTTTTTTTTTTTTTATCTTTTAAAACAGATAAGAAACATTGATACAAATAAAAAATAAACACACAAATAAAGTCTTGAGTAATGTACAATTTTGAAAATTACTGTTTCACCAACCAAACAAATCCTTAGCCATCTTTTTTTTTTCTTCCTGTATGATGTTCTTTTTTTTTTTT